TGGCGGTGCCTGGTGGGCGGCTCCGCCGGCTGCAGCGTTTCGTGTGAGAGCGGGCTGGCCCTGGGGAAGGACGTGGCTTTCCTCGCGCCTGGCTGCCAGACTGCGGCCCTCTGCCCGAAGGGCCCCGGCGGAAGCTGGGAGGCTGCGGCAGCGTGAGCCTCTCGCCGTTTCGTGACTAATACTCTGTTCACGACGTCGGGGGAGGCGTTGGTCGGCTGCAGCGCCGCTTTTGAGTGCTGAGCGCTTTGCTGTCGTGTCGGGAGGGGGGAGCCGCCAAGGGAGAGGGGAGCTGCCAGGGAGATGGCGATCTTGGTAAAGTTGAAGCTTGTTCTGGTTTGCCTCCCGACAGGCTAAGCGCACCAAGAAGGTTGGGATTGTGGGTAAATATGGTACCCGTTATGGTGCGTCCCTTAGGAAAATGGTGAAGAAGATTGAAATTAGCCAGCATGCCAAATATACCTGCTCCTTCTGCGGCAAGGTGAGAGACCTCCCCTAAAAAAGTCTTGAAAAAAACCTTTGTTATTGATCCTAGAAATGCAATTTGATGCTTTGGTAATTTTTCTACTAAAGAGAAAACTCAGTTAGTTTTACAGTGATTAGTTTATTGTGGGCTTTAGGCTACTGTCAGAATCCCATATAAAATAAAAAGTTAGTAGACATTTCACGTGCATGTTTAGTGGTAGTTAAATGTAAACAAACATAAATTATATTTCATTACACAAAATAGTGAGAAATGTTGCCATACTGTACGTTTTAGGTATCCAATAAAAAGACCTGACAGAATGCAAACAACACACTTGTTATCCTGGTAATTAAGGCATGACTTAGGCTTTTTTTTTTTTCATTCAGTAACTTCACAACTTACGTGGAGGAGAAAGAGAGCTTGTTTTTCCCACTTAAAGCTTTTGATTGCGGTTGCTTACTTATATTTGTGTGCTGTATAACTCTGGATGGGGAAGAATTTCTGATAAGAAGTAATCTTACCTGCTCAATCAAAATTTACTCTTAAATCTGTTTTTTGACAGTTTGAGAGGCCCATCAGCTTGTGCTTTGCCCAGATAATTTTTATTAGTATCTGTAAAGTAGGTATCTTTAAGTGGCTGGAAACGTAAAAAGATTTCCATCTGGGGTTTTTTCTGTTTAGTGTCTTTCTCATGTGAAGTGAGAATGTTGAGAACCCCATTTGCAGAGCTGCCTAAATCCAACAGAGGTCTAGGCAAACCCATTGTCATCTTTGCACGGTGATGGAGACTTGCCCGGGTGAAAGGAGCTCAGTACCTGCCAGTCACTCCTTAGGTGTTACTCAAAGGGGATCCGGTTTAAAGCAATCTTGGGATGTCCAGGGAGCACTAATAATAGCGGTGTGACATTGGTCATCAAACCAGGTGAGAATATCAGTTACGATGACCAATGTAGCTCATTACTGTTTTTCTCCTTCAAAAAGACTGAGTTTTTGATGGTGCGCTTAGAAATGACCCACTTTATATCTGAATGAAGAAGTGTTTCAGAAGGACGTTCCCCGTTCTGAAGAATCTGAATAAAAACATTGCCTGATCCTTGTGGGTCTTAACTAGGCTTATAGGTAATGCTGTGGTGTGATGCTGAAGTCCTCACCTGAAGTTTGTTGTTTGGCTTTTTCAGCTGATGGAGAGTGCATTTTTTTTTTCCATTTTCTTCTATTACAGACCAAAATGAAGAGGAAGGCTGTGGGTATCTGGCACTGTGGATCCTGCATGAAGACAGTTGCTGGTGGTGCCTGGACTTACAAGTAAGGAAATGAAGAAGCTCCTATCAGCATTTATTCTCACATAGCTGAGGCATAATACAGCTTTTTATTCTAATTTTTTTTTTAAATCTACTAACCATTAAGTAGATCTGTCTCGAGTTAGTGATACGTAGGGGTTTTTTTTGCCTGCGTTGTTAAAATTTGATTGGAATGGATCAAATTGGATTTGATGGCTATTCTTTCCAGTATCTGTTATGCAACTTCTGAGAATATTGCATTTTATCCGTCATACTACTGCTGCTGGTTTTGGTAGGTTCCTCCAAAATTTCTTTCTCTTTCTGGGCTTTATTGAAGCAGTTGTTTTATTCTTCAAAACTGCAAGCTCTGCATCTTTTCCCAAACTTCAAATAAAGAAATTGAAACATCTGCAAATGCTGAAACAAATATTTTTATTTAAGTAGTCTCTTTTGTGCCTTGGCTGTAGTAACATTTTGTACTGGAGATGCGAACTACAGTTGTTGCTTGTACAAGATACTACGCTTGGGCCAGTTTTTTGGTGACATTGGAAGAAAAGGAGCAGAGAGGATGGCTGGTTCATCCAGCTGTCTCAGGGTGGAATCAACTGTATGGATGACACCTGACAAATGTCCCTCCGACCTATTCTAAAAGGAGCTTCAACAGCTTCTAATAAATCACGCTTCTGAGCTGGGTATTATTTTTCGGTGATTCTTTTGACTGTATAAAACTTTAATGGTGTAAGGGAACTCTTGCCTCTTCTTTCAAAGCCTAAGCAGCATTTTTTTGTGATTACTCCCCTAGCCTTTTCAGTTCAGAGAGACAGGTACAATAGGCAAAACCAGGTTTACTCCGAGGAAGATGATTTCCATGTTTTGTTTTTGTTTTAAAAGCATTGAATCATTATAGTCCTTATTGTGATGGTGCCCTTGCTTACTCCCTTTCTTTACTCTCCTTCCCCCCCCAATTCTGGTAGAAGACACTGTTGTCCCACGCATAACAGTCGCTAGGAATTTGAGCCCACGCGCTTGTGCGTATAGTTGACGCATGACTGGATAATTTGGGTTGAGATGTAGTTTGTGCAGTTGTGTGTGCTTCTGTAGACAAAGGCCTACACTTTGTTGTCATGAAAATCAAAGTAGAATTAACCCCCTGTTGACAATGCAATTGGGCAATAACTATTTGAAATGATTAGTGCTTTCTCCAAAAAATAACGTTGGCGCGGGTTGTTATACTGCCACGTGCAGATGACTCTGCTTCTTCTTCCAGTACCACCTCTGCAGTGACAGTCAAGTCTGCGATCAGAAGACTGAAGGAATTGAAGGACCAGTAGACGCTACATCCTGTTCTCCTTGTGCAACATCCTTTTTTCCCACTGCCAAGATCTGTCCTTTTAACAATAAAAAGGTGATAATGAAGTGGAATCATGTTCGCCTTTCCACAAAAAGTCCTGTCTGTCTTGCTTTACTGTATTTATAACTATGGAGGCATTAGTAGTTCTGTCCAGTAGTCGAGTGGCTCTTGTTACTGGTGAAGCCATTAAAAAACACTTTTCCTTTCCAGTTAATTGATACTTTGTTGCTTGAATGCGCTGAGGTGTATCTGAGGAAAGCTTAAATAGCTTAAAGAAGCCTGGCACATCTTGATACGTCCTTCATGTCTGTGCCTTGAGGAATAGTGTAGAGCTCTGAGTGGAGGAACGGACAGATGTAAGGGGGGAGAAGAGAACATGCTAAAAACATCACCCTGCCTCTTCCCATTTGCCTTTGAGGATGGCTCAGGGGAGTAGGGCGTGTGCTTGCAAGATGGAGAGGAAAAAAGAGCATCATGACTGGCTTGGGGGCAGAGATTGAAATGGTAAAAGAGCAGCTATCATCCTCTGCTGCTGGCTGGTGCTGCTTTATTTTCTAGCGCCAGCTACAGACGATTGCTTACTACAGCCCGTAGCGTGTTGTGTGCAGATCTTGAGGTTAGTCTACCTGAACGTGCTTTATGGCTTGCTCTTCCTAGGCCTGATAGCAGGCTCCCGTGTCTGCATGTTCCAAGTCCCCTAATCCATACCGGATTGCAACAATAAGTTTTCATGTTGAGCCAACTCCTGGGACATTCAGTCTTGGAGGAAAAGCTGCTGTTTGAGTTAATAATTGCCTCCGAATTGCCTCTATTTAGACTACCAAGCTTGAGATGCTGGAAAATTTTTTTTCTCGTCTGTTTGTCAGGTGAATTTCGATCTGGTTTGAGGTTTGTTTTTGTCTGGGCTTTTTGGTGACTGCAGCACCTTTCCTATCCTCAGCAGTACAGGTCAGAAAAGACAAGTCTTGGTAATAACCTTGATAGCTGCTGGAGAAAAAATAGTAAGCAGGTAGCATAGTGGTTGCTTGCTCTTCCTCCAACTTAAGCTTTAAATGGCTTTGGGTGGTGATGAGCTACGGCAATAATGTCATTAATGAGCCTGACATCTTTGAAAGGTAGATTCAGAACTGGACCTAAGTCGGAACCTTTTCCCAAGCTGCAAAAAGTCTGTGGCTCAGAAGTTTAACTGCAGTGTCCCTGAACTTGTTTTCTAAACTTTTTTTTTTTTCCCTAATTCAGTGCTCTAAACTTCCCTTACTAAAGTAGATTCATGTATTCAGGTATCCAGTGTCATTCATACCACCCTGCATATCCTTCATGTCGCCTCCCAACAGTGATGAGGGTCATTCCCTGGGACTCGGACAACCTGCTTTCTGGGAGAGAGATCACTGCACATTTTTTCATTGACACACCTTGTTCTGCCTGTAGTGCAGGGTGAAAGAGTTGGGTGACAGGCTTGAAGTGGAGGTGGCAAGTGGGTGACTCCTTAGAAGCAATGGCTCATTTTTGTCTATGTAGATGAACACCATCTACATCATGGCCACCTGTTACAGCAGCGTTACGAAGGAAACCTATGGGTTCAAGAAACTCTTAGCTCAATTCTGTCTCACTTTTGCTGCTGCTTTTCTTGTATGACATACCCACAGCAGCTTTCTCTAGGTACTTGTCAGACCTCTCAGCTTAGTCCTGGACTCTGCTGTTGCTGGTCCTAGTTCGTGCTAACCAGCTTTCTTGGGATGCCATCTCCAAGCTGCCTTGAACTTTCTTTTCTTTTCAGTTAAGATGTTTCTGCTCCCTTAGGGATGCCTTGCATGCTGGTGTGTGGATAGCTGGAACAGCTCAAGGAGCCAGCTTTTCTTCTGCTGGCTGCTGCTCCCACTGAAGATAGGGTGAATGGTGTGTGAGGGTGGCTTATGCTACTGTGGGGATATCTCTACTGCCTGAAGAACAGCTGCTGACCTGCCTCAGTGAGTTTATTAAGGGGCACTGCCCCTGACTTTGGGTCAGTGAAGGTTTGTGAAGTGCTGTGCTCCAGGAGCTGCTTTGCAGATAACTGAGCCATCCTTTAGGGAAACCTCAGCAGAAGGAAGGGTTGGGGAAGCTGGTATAGATTGGATGTCCAGAAACAGCTCTGTGTCCTGCTTGGACCTCCAGGAAAAGGGGTGAAGTGGAAGGGGGAGCCGCTCCAGTTGCCAGCTGACGTGGAGATGAGTGAGCTCAGGAGGTATTGGCCTAGCATCTGTGCAACACCTTGGGAGAGCGCTTTTGAGAAGGTTTCTGAGCAATGACAACACTTCTTAAACTGCATCAAAATAAAGACAACTTCCATCATGCTAAAGGTGTCTTTATGCGGGCCCTTTTGTTGGGAAATCGTGATGAAACCACGTGAGTACTGATTACTTTGCCACTTCGAGTACTGATTACTTTGCTGCTTCATTGTGCGAAAGCCTTTGTTGGTAACACACTCGATGTGCTCGGGGGGAGGTTCCTCTGGTGATGTGGCTGTACAGCTCTGCCTCTAGAAGGGGCTTTGAGGAGCTTGGGTTGCCCTGTGGAGGTCCACGTTTCTACAAGGAGGCACTATGCAGCCAGTTGAGGCAGGGGAGGCTTGACAGCTTGGAAACAGCAGCCCAGCTTCCTGGGTGGTGGGCTTGAGGGTGGGAGGGGGAAATGCTGTTTTCAGTGAAGCTGCAGAAGAGGTCCAAAACTCCAGTGCCACCTGCGTGAGGTGTTCCTGCTGGAGCAAAACTCCACAGGGATCTGCGGTGATACAGGGGCCATGGATGTGGCTCATCTGCCACAGGAAAGTCACTGCTGTGCCTCAGTGATCGGCCAGAGAAGAGTACTGCTCAGTCCTTGGAACAGCTGTAGGTGTCCCCTGGTTAAACATGTCCTTCTCTCTTCTGGAGTTCTTGAGCTGCTAAAACCAGATACAAGTTGCAAGCTGGTGAGCGTGCTCCCGGCAAATTCAGATTTCCCTGCTGCCTCGAAGGCCTGTAGCTGGCTGTGACAGCTGCTGTGTGGAGGCGTGTGTTACCGGCTCTCGCTGCCTTGACAAGCAGGATAGTGGTGTTCTGCATATTGCCTTTTATTCTTGACTCGGTGTGCTTGGGTCGCATCTCCATGTCCCTCTTCCCTCCCAATTCCGGGTGCTGAGATGTGTCGATAACCCAAGGTGATTGCACAGGTGTCTTAT